TTGTGAAAAAGTAAACAGTTAAGGTACATTTGTGAAAAAGTAAACAGTTAAGAACGTACATTTAAATTGATGTTTGCTGGAAGAAATGAAACGCATGTATTAAGTACATTAAGCAGTGATTTTGTGTATCCACGGGGTATGATAGGGGACTGACACGACACGAGAATAGCTCATTATCACTTTTCATTTTCTTCTTAATAAACATCTTCAATAGTATCACAGTAATGGATACAAGTTTAGATATAATCGTATAAACTTTGCTATATCAAACTGTCCGCATGAACATGAACGTAACTTATTATTTAGTTAGAAACAGTTGTCATTCCTGTAATTACTTAACCGAATTTCTTGGTAGTAATTGATGATTGTGAAAGGGAAAGAATTTTTAGACTTTTATCAAATCTATATCAATGTTTGTATGAAACAAGTGCCATGATATAACAAGATTTTGGAATCTTGTAGAAAACCATATGGTGTTGGAAAATTCATTTAAATTCGGTCAGGGCAACAGTACATCATTAATTCATAATTCTTTCTAAATTTCCAATTACCAGATTCTTCAACTACCAGAATTAGTTCTGTGTGTCTGTTTCACTATAACCACGCGCCATTACAATGGATAAGGCTAAAGTCTTGTCCAACTGAGTCTAACTATCGTTGTCAGCTGGTTTCCGGTTGGATATAGGGCCAGAAATTCTTGACACAAATCCAGCTTTCTTAACTTTGCAATCGTTTGCCTGTGTTGCTAATCATCATTGTTGTTGAGTGCTTGTTTATTACTATCGCTTGTATCTTGCATCATAGAACACGAGGAGACAAACATGTAAGTGATACTGAACAATCTTCACATATGTTATTTTCCCGTGCAGGCACGTGTCGCGTCATTACGTCTAAGTATTATTCGTATACAGTTCCATGATTTCTGTAGCCCTATCTTTCTCTCTTTTAGTGTTGTGCATTTCATTTGGATACGGTTTCGGGACATATTATATGGATTTTGTTTGATGATGTTTTAAATATCTTAGGAAAAATCATGCATATGATTCCATCAACAAAGGTAGCTTTTACTTTTATTCTAAATGCTGGATTGCTTGTGTATAGATAACTATTTCAAATGTTACAAATTGTGTTCCTGCATAAAACAATATGTTATTTTCATTGCGACGTTACTTATTTCAAGTATGCTTAGTAAGATGGTCTTTGCCGTTTTTGTAGCCACTCAAGTATTTACACAATGCCGATCAGCCAGAATAACCTAAGCAACGTATTGTTATTTAATTGATCTAACTTCTTTAATTTTTGTCTTTTTCTTCACTCTTTTTGTTTAGAAATACACTCCCTATAGTTTCCTACACACGTTCATAGTGTCCATGTCTCAAAGTTCTTTTCTCTTCGGTCTTGGTACTTTGTATGTCAAAATACATGTATACCACAATTAGCTCCATACGACATTCTTTCACAAGACCTTTATCTGCCCCTTGTGTCTTCAGTTGGAAAATATGTGGGTTTTGTTGAAATCGAAACCAGCCGTTTAAGACTATTCAATAACTTTGAATGCAAAATAGGCACTATCTATAAAATTACACATAATAAGCGCGTACAGATGGTTATAATAGCTCAAATATTTGGCGCGATCACAAAATTATACTATATATATATATAAATCATATTTGTAAATCTTTGTTCGCGCCTATGGATTATTTTGTCATTAGTATGGATTCTCAATGCCCCAATTTTAAATTATTATACGATTATAATGAAATAAACAATAATGCAGGATAGAATTATAAATGTTGACGGACCCCATGCTGGGTAATTCTCATGTCAATTATAAATACTGAAGATCCTGTAATTTACTTCACTTTAAATCATATCAGCTTTAATCCTTAATAACACAACATATATATTAACACTTTTTGTACAATTAAGTAAAGAAATTTAAAAAGCAATTATGGTCTTGCAACTATTTTAATTGAATTTACGAACATTTTGAAGTAACATTGATGCACTCGATATAATAGAAAGTGAATTGATTTTTTTATTGATACGAACATATGTTTTGAAATTTGCTGTAATTGCCGACTAGTCAAAATGTTTAAGCAGAATATAAACGGTTGAAATAATGACTGGTAGTGATATGGTACACAGTCTGATTATAATGATAAACTAGTAAATGTGTTATAATTTGATAGACTGTATTTAATATTAACAGATCTTCTTTGCTGATTTCTACAGTGTTATAAATGGCTATGATAGATTGTTAATGTTATTTTAAATGAAATTATAGGGTCATCAAGTAACATGACTAAATGTGTAATAAGAAACTGAAAGAGAAAAGAAGGCCAGGAACAAAATGAATAGAATGTAATAAACAAAAATATAATCATTTGAACACGAAATATGTTTTAAAAAACCTGGATAATTTGATGCGTTAATAAGTGAAACTTAAATTAGAGACTACCCAATGGTAGCAAATATGATAGAGAACATTTGAAATGAAAACACTAACTAAGTTTGATTTAAAACTGTTGTAACGGAAAAAATGGTAAATGTAGAAAAAAGTTAGATACCTACAAACATGAAGTATATAAGTTTGTTTGCAATTTCAAACAACCACTGACTTGTTACTATCTATATAAATGATGGCGTAATACAGTTACCAGGGTTTTTTACACTGTATTATATCTTATTATCTGAATTTTGTACTTGAACATGTCATCATTTTATCGTTTATATTACTTCCCTAACTTATCATCTATACCATCAAAATGTTCAAACTTGTACCAATATACACCATATCTGCCTTTAAGATAGTATCACTGTGAAATAGTAAGGTAAACTTTTAGGTGCTGCACCGAATGGCACCTTGAATTGTTCCTAGTGGAAAACATCATTAAACCAAGTTCATTGACCAAAATCAAGGTATAATATTACGTTAATCCATTTTGGATAAATTAGTGAATGTTTGTTTACACTGTCTGTCGATATTATGTTAGGTTACATAGCGTGTATCAAGAGATATAACTATGACACAACGAGAGTTCGTCCGGAATAATTTCCTTAAAGAATACACCGCTAAATGTTTGTGCAAACACAAAATCATGGTTGAGGATTATTACGCACCGTCTGAGGGTTGACCGGTGCAACAAAGTTACATACTTTGGAATGCAATCACCGACTCATTACCTGTTTTTGGCTAATCTATATTTTCCTCATCAATTCAAACGATATGTAGCTTTTTAACAGACCACAGAATGGCATCTTTGTTCTTAGTTATAATGCATTAAACATGTGTTTATAATATATGCATGATACCATGTAGAAATCAAAGAACGCATTGACTTTTCCACTGTTCACATTAGTTCAATGCTATGCCGTAATGTAGAAATGGTGTCAGGAAGTGCACAAAATATGTAAAACACACCAACAGTTCACACCGGAATCTAACATTTACTCTATTAACAACTTCAGAGATATCTTAACAAATATAAAACTCCCGGAATTCTAACATTTACAATATTAAAAACTTAGAGATATCTTTAATCAGAGTTTGGTGGTACGTCAGTCAGTATGGTATCATATGTAGGTATGACTGTTGAGATATAAGATATAAGGGTTTCCTTCACAGAAAACACATATTTTGATATTTTCCTCACATTTTACGTAAGTTAATATATTTAACTAATATACTGACGTGTCCTGATTATGCCATTATTACGTTGTGACGGTAGAATGCTGCATTACCCAGCGTGATTGTGAAAGAGTTTAAATCTTTAAATCACTTTTTATTGTTTGATTGTCGTTTTTAGATTTACAGACACTTGAAATAAAACAGAGGTTCCTTATTAAAGAGCCCCCCCCCCCCCTCTCAACACCATTGTGAAATATAATAAACATAAATCTTACTGATATTTAAAACTTTTGTCAGTGTTCGTTTTTAATTTCATATTAATACATGTGATCATATAACATTATATAAATGATACAGTTAACTATACACTTTGACGTTCAGTTCAGAGTCAGTTTTTATAAAATTATTATATCATGTTTCTTATATACTCGGGACTGGCATGCAAAAACACTCTGTCACAGCAGCTACAGGGAACATTTATAGCGAAATCACTGACATACATTATTTAACTCGGCATGTTATTTTTTGAGAACTTGTCCATAAAATATTCCACTTTGCCAGATTTTGTTAATAAAATTTTGTCCTTTTTATAGTAAATAACATTGACAAATAAGTACTAACTTGTCTTAATTTCTAGATGAATGATACATTTAGATTGATTTATTTATCACAAAGATTATGTCAATGTAGACAATTATTCTTTTTTAAAACTGACAAGCGCTATTTGTAAGCTATTAACATTTCTCATTTTAATGACATTAATGGGTGAAAGAAAAATGGCCGTCATTATTTTATAAATAGAGTAGGTTTGTACCTTCACATGATGGTAAGCGATGTTAATTATGATAAAATTCCTTTAAATTTCAAATGCTTTAAAATCATGTCTGGTAAGTGGTCAAGTCTATAAAATCTGACCCCCGGGCTCACGCCGTCTACATCTGATAATGTTAACACTAGTTGTCAAGTTTTTGGTAACTCTTCACTAAGAAGGTGTCCACTGTTACCACTCCTTCCGGGTCAACGGTGTTAGTGTAAAGATAATACTAAATAAACATTTTCTTAACAACAAAGGAAGTGTTTTAGATTTTTTTTATCTTCTACAAACACAATATGGTCCTTGTATTATAACAATAGTAAAGCGGTCGGCATTGCGTCACAGATCAAAAGAAGCTTATGATATAAAATATACAATAACTGATAACATAACAATTTATAAGTCCTGTGCAATATGATTTTTTATTTAAGAGGTTTTTTTTAAACACTGTCAAACCATCTTAAATTCATTTATCAAAGTTATGAATCACGATTATAGATGATAATTTAATAAAATACGTTCACAGTTGTTCAAACTCCTTATGTATTTTTGCAGGGTAACTGTTCATGGTGCAATGTAAGCGGACGGAGGGTTGTACTTCGGTCTGTCAGTTTACTGCAGCTGTCGGAGGCAGAGAGGCTTGCGCTGCAGAAAATAGTTCTTCAAAAACTTCAGTCAGAAGATCTCGGATGTCCTGTTGTAATACCAAAAGGTATGTGTCAATAAGTTAAAGTAATGTAACACCGATTTGTTTTATGTGCAACTAATTTAGAATCGTTTATAACACAGATGATAAATACCCTTTAGTTAAATATCTATTATTACATGTAAATGTGATGTCAAAAGTGACGTCTCCGTGTCCTATCGTAGTAACTGTTTCCATGGAAAGTAGTTCCTGTCAAAAGACATTAGACGTAACAACTGAAGTATACACATTCCTGAAAAATAATACAAGAAAAATAATACAAACTCTACAACATTCCAGAGGCAATTCTACTGGGAAAACCTTTTAAAAGGTTTACCTGTTTTCCTAGATTATATAATTTCCGTTATTTCGAGATCGACAGTTGTATGCAAAGTTTTCCCTCGTAACCTTGACATTCTGGATACGCTAGACCTAACGTCATAGGTAAAATATATAATTATAAACAAAGACGTATTGGCGAAGGTAACTTGTTTATAATTCTGTAACTTCTATATACAATGTACATGACTGTACCTATGTTTTTTATAGGTTTAGAACAGGCATGTGTATGATGCCATAAAAATTCCATTCATATTTATTTTCGCTGGGAGCTCACGATTTTAAAGCCATTTGATCATTACGTAAAGTAATAAATATTTTCATTGTATAATCATTTAGAGATAGTGTATAAGCATAGGAAATTTATCAGGAGTTTTCATTTAATTTAAAAAAAAAAGATGATGGGCAATTTGAGGGTTGTCTTCTTAAACATGTCATTTCTGTCTTTTATTTAAACGTAATTTTGTACTGAATGTAAGTAGTACAAGCATCTAGGAATGTTGTAAAACCTGTGCTGAAGACCACTGTTTTAATACGTAATATATGTAAGCCCTACATGCCAGCTTTCCAAATGGTAGCATAGATACACTGGTGTGTCTGTATTTGATTCATTATAAATGTTACAATATTAATTACGATAAAAGAGGTACTACTACCGAGATAGGAAGATAACGTGTCAATAATAATTTGCGTATTTCATTTTTTAAAGAGAGATTTTAACCTATAAATAACGTTGCTAGACAAGATAAATATTTTGGGAACAATTTGTCGTTTTTACAGAAGTTTTATACACGACAAAGGTATTTAAGTTGAAAGATGATATGTTTGAAGTTTTATCATTTTTATTTATGGTATGCCTTACCAGATATCAACATCTGTATGTTTAAGATACAAACCAAGAGTGTGTTTTATCAAGAGAAATAAATGCATGGAAATCACGAAATTAAGATCTGTTTTATCCTCTCATAAAATACTCCTCCATAACGGCAACGGAACCGAACTCGTTTACCTGTTAGTGAAGTGTATAACGTCGAATTACATTTTGATAAATGAAATTGAAAGCAAAAAAGGGTGCTTGTCGCGTTTGTCGAATTTTTCATCTGGACTTGATATATTTACATTCTCAGCCATAAATATACATTTCATTGTCGACATTCAGGATAGATGTTCTACTGTTTGACAATTAAAAAGATATATATGTTACTAGTGTAGAGTAATTTCCTCATTACTTTTAACGGTTCTATACTTTAAGCAATAAAACGTATTGATGGTAATATTATACGGTAGAGTCATCTCAAATACAAGTGAACTTTCAGTGGGAAGTTTAATTTGCCCATATATATTCATGAAACACATACAACGAGCCCATGACCTAAGATTGAACGCTGGACGTTTTAAGTTGTCTATTAGACACGGTGTTCATGTGATAAGGTGACGAAATGATGGACAACAAACATCCATCTATTTAGTGTAGAGACCACTTTTTTACATTTTCTGAGCTCACAGCCCAAGTTCAGTTTTATTGCGAACTTGTTTTAATTAATGTCCAAACGTTAAATAACGGCATTGCATTGCAAATACTGTTGTATAAGTGCTAGGTTTAGGTCTAAACTCTGCTTACATATAATTATATATACATACAATAGGTAAATACTGATGTAGTATAGTTTCCTCTTGAATGTCAAAACTTAGATTACAAGTGACATTAATGACTCTTAGATGAATATCACTTAAAAGTGATATGTATGGCCTTATGGCACGGATGTTAATGATGGAATGCTGATGTAAACAGAGCCTTGAACTCACTGGCAATGTCAAAAATCTTATACACGTTAGCTATATCACATGTTGCTTGCTTTCATGATACATTCACAAGTTGCAGAATTAAATTTAAGGAATGTGTAAAGTCTGCATATTTCTAACATACGAATCATGGGTAACATTTACAACGTGTATTCCACATAAATGATAACTGTATTTTGATTCAAACCCGGTACAATGATAAATACGTCGACTGAACACTACTATAAGGGCAACGGTTACCAAACAGTAAAGTTGTTTGCCTCCCATTCAAGGGGTCATGGGTTCAAGTTTTACTTTATGATCATATTTTAACCTCGGTAATGGTAAGCTTAAAAGTGATTAAATTAATGGTTTTGTTTAATTTACAATCGAGCTCAAATGAATAGTTTCACAACATTAGCAACAATTATACCCTATATACAGGTTGGTAAAGTCAACGTGAAACATTCATGGAAAAATACATTTTCTCATTTACCTTTGTATAAACCCTGGTGACCCTGGGATCGCCTCATTAACTTTACACCCACCTTTCTGATCATTAATGACACTGACCCATAGTGTACATTCAAGCGTTATATGACACTGGACATTTAACATCGCGTTGCTATGGTTACATGACACCATAAAATGTAGATTTATAACTTGTGACTCATTTAATTGAAGTTTAGCATGAAATCATACAATTACATTTAAATTAAACTGGTGTCCGTTTTGTTAAATACAGCGTTAATTTCTATATACATGTTTGTACTTCTAACGATCAATGCATTTTCCCTATATTTGTGACTTTGTGATTACCTTTAATGAAAGCCTGTGTAAAATATTTGCTTTGCGAGCTTTTCATTCACTTTGTAAAAATTAAAAAAGAATCAACGTTAAAAAAATGATCGGGCAACTATTTCCATAATTTCTTTTAATTAATGCTCTTTGTTGATTTGAACTCTCGTATTCAAGAAATTATATTGTTTATAATAAATAACTGCCTATAGTTATATTCCCAATGTAGTGCTTTCAATGTAGTTAAAATCGTGTGTAGACATCACGGTTATTTACGATCTTCATGCGAAATTATCTGCGAAAATATTTCATTAATCCAAAGTATGTGAATTCTTAGAGAAAACAAATAATTTTTATAGGTAATCAATCAATAATGGAACACTTCACATGAATTAGGAATGAGGAGTGCCTGTAATATTTACTTTGACCGCAAAGTCGAACAATGATTTTCTGTCTTGTATAAATATAAAACGCTTTCTAATGAACAAAAGTTCGAAATGAAACCATTTAAATTCTGCGAGGAAATAATTTTGCAACAAATATCAACACTATTTAGCTTTAGGGGTATATCATGTATCCTCAGAGCTTTCCTAACTTATCAATTATTCAACATTTTCACGGATGGAATTTCTGCATTCGAATAATTTATGAACTTTCATATTTCAAATGGTAACAGTTTTAACATGGTAAAGAGGATAAACGCTCGCAATAAATAAATTATACACCATGTAATCTTTGTGAAACGTGATTTCGCTCGATACACATGTTTCAAGTCGGTTGGTGATAAATGTGGTATAAAACTATAATAGTTCCACAGACACAGTGTAAAATACATTTCTTTTACTAATATAACTTTGCATTTTTGTTAGGTATTACGTACTTTCATTTTGTATTAAAGAAACATCGGCATGACGCATGGGCATATTTACCCACGAACTTACCCCTCCTTTCTTGCCAGTCCTTCATAGTGTAGGGATGAAACAGTCACCATTGCTATGTCCCCCAAGCTATTGTTTCAATATATCTCAATTTTCGGACAAAATATTGGTCCCCTTAGGTGTCAATTAAGATCTCGTGGATATGTAAATGGTCAAATTACTCTAATATTACAAATAAACATTGATTTAACAGTTACATGGACGCCGTTGTATTTACGCCCACCATGTTTAGCTTCAGATACAACTACAGGTGATGACGGGCTCCATATGGAGTGAACATAATGTAGAATTCTTTATATTATCATTATAACTGCATTCCTGTCATACATGCATTAGTATAGAGAATCAATTAGGTCAACATGCAAGTTAATCAGAAGAAAGAAACTTACAGTTTACTAGTATACATTTAACGAAATAAAAACTATAATTTCATTTAAAAAACGAATAGAGGAAACTCTGGGCGTATAGTCATGTATAACACTATATTTGACAGTCATATCTTTTCAACATGTCATACGCGTTCTTCCTGTCATATAAGAAAACAATCATTTTAATAAAAAGTTATGGATTATCTTGTCAAAAATATTCTCAGTCCGATGAAATTCATTAAGTTTGGTTTGCATATCTTACCTTCACTATCTAACAAAGTGTCTAACTAATCTGAACGTTCCATCCAGTGTGGTGGTAAAGTGATTGTTTGTAAGAAGTGTGTCATCATTTCTTCATTAGATGTTAGATGACTAGTTGAAGATACATCTTAATGAGGATATTTAACTATCTGACTGTTTTATTAATGACATCAAAAACGTAAAGGTTAAGGATACCGTTAGGCATAGTTTAAATTCGGCGAATACATTAAATATCACTGTCATCTACATATACGCGTTGTCAACTCGGCGACTGCTTCATTAGGCAGGCATTTAGATGGGGAATGAGTAGGCCCCGGAGATGATGATATTATATGATTTATAATGATATAGATCATCGTATGTCAAGCAGAAAAATGTCCATATTTTATTTATTTTCCCACATATAAAAGTCGTTTATGTGAGAAAGTCAGGTAGAAAGTTGATACGCGAGCGGCCATTAAATCTACCGTGCTAACTGACGATTTGGAGAAATTTGTCAACGCTACATTTACATTTTATATTCAATTATCTTAACTTTAATACTGTAATATAAATGGGAGAGAAAACTTAATAACACATTTCTGATTTATCAGTACGAAATCTCTTTTATGTTTTAAATACAGTTTATAACGTGTTCACATTGACATATACTTTAGAATGACATTAACTTTTTATCTCTAGTCGTAATATGCTGCACAAGGTGTCAGAAAGTAAGTTGATTTATTTTTTAAGAATATCAAAACAATCTTATTATCAGCCTTGTCTTCTTTTGTTACAGTTTTCATATTCCGGTAAATTTTATATCATGAATGCGAAAATTTAATTAATATTTTTATTTTCATAAAAGATATTTTTCTCCATTTTCTTTCATTGATTATCTAGTTACTGGTTGTTACGAAGATCGCTTCACTTTCATGGGAGGATAACTCATGAAAAGTTTGATAGGAATGAACCTGATGCATACTTATCTGCCCTTGCGTTATTATACATGTAAATATGAAGAAAATCCATGGTAGGAACATGTAAATACATTCAAGCCTTTATAAAATTACGATATATCGCTGTCTATCATAAATTGCAAGAAAACCTGAGATCTTGATTAAGATAAGAGAAACTAAAAGCTATGATTACACCCATTTACTTTAAGGGTGTATAACATGTGATTCAATCACATATACATGTATGTGCTCATATGTTTGATGAAAAATCCTTCAAAGTGTTCTATATACACAAACCATGTCATTTCTAATGATATTGAATGTATATACATATATACTGATTGTTTGATACAATTATTTTGAAAGCGTCCCCGTTCCTCTGATCGTGTCAGCCTCATGAATGCGGGTGTCTGAAGGGCTTGCACTTAATCTATCTAAAGTTCTATGAATAATTTATAAATAGTTTAATTCGCCAGTTCAATTGTTTTACTGACATACATCTTGTAGTTTTATAACGTACAAGTGTCACTTGTCTGTTGGTTATCATTTTATTTGCATGTCATAAAAACAATCGTCGATGCATTCTAAAATGTCATATTTGACTCAAAGAAGGTTTAACATCAGCAAATCTCTCGTTTGTGCAAGTTTGACAAGTTAATACGCCTTATAAAGTAGGATCAAAGGAGGACACATGGAGAATTCAAGACATACTTTAAGACATATTCAACATTTATAAAAAAAAACTTCGCTAGAACAAAACAGGTATTCCAGTTATCTTGACTGCGATTTGAAGGATTAGCAACTTGTCGTGTAGGATATATTTTATCAAGATAAATACGCTATTAATGGTGGATATATGAATTTAGTTATCTGTATATGATCATGCAAGTTTTAGTTTTACTTTGCTGACAGTTTAGGCAATTAAATGTATACACTTTACCTGATAACATAATTTGTTAAACGGATATCTTGTTCTTTTCGTAGTCCAATGGCTTCGATTTCCAGTGACCGTGAACAAATTAAATTGGCGCCGTGTTTTTTATACTTTGTTATAATATTTACTTTATAGTGTTGGGTGTGCTATATATAGAAATGGTCATTTATAGGGATGATATATAACACTGACCTATTGGCAGTGGTTCTTTCATTCAATTGTAATCTAGAAAAACAAAGGAAATCTTGTTTCACGGTTTGCACTTTTAGATTGTCCCTGAATTTCGTTATTAGACCATTATCCCTTCCATAAGAAAAGAAAAAAGTCCTAATAGTTCAACTCGGTGGAAAACGCATTACGAATCTATGTTTTTTTCTTCTTCGCGGGATCTGCTTTCTCCATTTGTTCCAACTAATTGCCTCCATTAAATGAGTGGAGAAAGGTTTTTGCAAATAATTTTGTAAAAGAAAGGGTTATAACTGTAATTTCAGAAAGTGATTTTGATGCAAAAAGGTAATATTGTGATTGCCTGGCGCACAACCCTCTCTCTCTATGTTGTTAATTACGAGTGTTTTGTTTTCTTTGCTCATAAAGATACAGTAAGCAAGTCCCCTTCATCATGATATGCACCATTAACTGAAAATTCCAAAAGGACTTTAGCAAATGTTTGTGGTTTGTTGTTTACTGTGAGAATATATTATTAAGATAAAAGTTAAGTAAACGATATGGAAATCCTCTTTGGTCAGATAAAGTGGGGTATAAATCAAGCGTCTAATAACATCTCATTATCAAATGTGCCAAGATGAAGCCTTTAGATTAAACAAAGAAGATCAATCAATGGGCATGACTTCAAAGTGGTTGTGTTATCATTACACAATACTAGTTATGACATAATTAAGACTAACCGAGAATTAAATGAAGCTTAACTATGGAATTAACTATAACTTACTGGATTAAAATACTTGAGCAATTGGAATAATTTCTCTTATTTTCGGCCACTCATCTGTTCAAATGCTTTGAGACAATAAATACGGTGTGAATAAACTGATTATGTTTTAAACTTTCACACGTAGATCCATGTAAGTTAATTTCTAAAATAGTTTTTGGTATGCCTTTATGTTTATATGAAGGAATGGTCTGATATAATAGCTCAATAGTCGAGCCGTCATATGGTTTCTTCCCCAAAAATATCGCTTTAGTAGATCTGCCAATTTTTACTATATTAGCAATTGACAATTATTTGATTCAGACCTTTGACTGACCATTGTTCTTGATACATTAATATTCTGAGTCACGATTTAATGTTTTCAATGTTTATATTTTACAGAACAACGAGAATCTGGCAGAAGAAAGAAGCATTTATTGTCAATCAAGCGGAGTAAGTCTGCCAACCTAAGTGGGTTCATTCATAGTCTGTCCGATAGGGAGAAAGGTTTGTACTTAAATAATGTATATAGAAATCCAATCACTCTGCTATATTCTAAATGAAAATATCTAACGAGCAATTAAATAAGATAGTTATTGAACGGTCTCTTGAGAGAATAAGCTTTGGCAATTCAGAAATAATATTGATATAGCAAATAAACTTCACCAGTCATTTCTCTCTGAAATATTTGCTCTTCATTAATTTGTTGCATTTAATTCATATCATTAGTTAAATTTGTTTGCAATTCTAAGAGAGAATTCTTCCAAGTTGCATTGTACAAGTGTTTCGCTTGAAATTAAATGGTTAGTTTTTGTTTTTGATGATACCATTGGTTATTTACCTATCAGATAAGCCATTGCAGTATTATCATTTTTGTTTTTTGTTTTGGGAAATTACCAAGTACAAAATGAAAAAGCATTTTGTATTGTTTATAACAGCAATTCAAACAAATATTTTCAATAGACTCATTCTTTATTTCAGATAACCAGACATCAGGTCTTGTGTTTGGAATACCATTGCAAAAATGTATCGCAAATGACGCTGAACAACGCAAACGTAACAGCTCAGCTTTAAAGGAACGTAAAGGTTCTGACGTCATTTTGACACGACAAGGACCTCGAAAATCTAGCAGTTCGTCACAGGGGTCCTTAGAAAACATAACTCATAATGGGACATCATTTTCGGAGAGCCAGAAGGTGTGTTTCTGTTTAAGACATTACTTTAAACAATTTTACATACGTTTTATTTTCTTGAAATATACAGGTACTTTCCATATGATATAGTAATATATAATGTATTAACATATGAATGTAATTAAAGCTGTATTGTGTAATAGACTTTAGTGCAGCGTTTATACTCCCAGCTGCTCTATAAATCAACTATTTATGAAGGAAATTCTTACAGCTGCTTAAAACATCACATGCGTTCTTAGAAAATATATCAAATAAATCCGAAACGTGCCATTAAAAGTTTTAGAAACCAATTATTTTATAGAATAGTGAATGAACTTCGGAATAAATTCTTTTCACACTTTCGTTTAAAATGATGAATTGTATAGTCGTGATCATTTTTCAAGTTTTCTCATACAATATTAACTATTTTTAAATTTCTAGAGAAATGCTAGTAGCGACTCACTGTCGGAATCCGAGAACAGTCGGAACAATTCTAGTCTTATCGATGCCTTGGTTTTATCAAACAGCCGCAGCGACAATCTTGGGCAAGATTACCTCCCTTTATATGCTACTGGACCACCACAGGTCCCGCACATCGTCCGAGTGTGTTTTAAACATATAGAAACTTATGGTAAGATAGCCATTACTATTATCTGGTCTGTAGAAACACACATATTATTTTATAAGTATAGTTTATTATTACATAAATATAAGTTTTTATCTCAGCATAAAAGAGATGCACGTCGAGGACAAGAGTATATGTTACTACTTTTATATTTTATTACAAATATAAAATATGGCATTCTGCCAAGAAACATCTTGTTGTAAGTTTCAAACAAAATTATATAGTTCTGCCTGTCAATTTGTCATAGCTATTTTTATTGTAACTGTTTCAGGTTTACGGGTATTGGGTATATTTAGAGTCGGGTCATCAAAGAAAAGAACGAAACAATTACGGGACGAGTTCGATACAGGGAGAGATGTGAAGCTAAACGAGTCACACAACCCACACGAAGTAGGCTCCGTCCTTAAAGAGTACTTCAGGGACCTTCCCGAACCCCTTCTAACCAGGGATCTATATTCACCCCTTATTGCAGCTAGAGGTGCGATACAAATTAAAGTTCTTTTTATAAAAAATCATTATCATTCAAATCCATTAAAGCTACGTTTGATTGACGTCATACACTAATTACTAATACTATATCGAGTATAATTGAATCGAACACTCGGTACAGTAACTATCATCTGAATATTATAAGATAATTACTTTAGTCAACTTTGCACTTTGTAAATGTCTGTTAAAGAAAGACAGTTATTTATTGAACCAGTGTACAAGGAATGCCTGCATTAATACCATTCATATGTTGCCTGTGTACTGGAATGTTAATCTTTACAACGTAATTAGATAACATCTCATCCTAAATTAGAATCAAAACCATTTGTTAATACTTACCTTTTGATCTAATAAGTACAGTTTTAAATTTTGTATGGAGATAATATTTCTTAATTGGCAGATTTGTAAATTTGTCGTCCTGTTATAATATAAAAGACTTAGACAATAGTTAAAACTTTTCTTATTTTGATGAACACAGAACTTAAAAAGTGTATTATATAAAAGAGTAAATTTTCTGTCTGTCATTCAAGTTAAACTTTTAATTCATTGCTCATTCTTACAGGTTTATATGACGTCGAAAAACAGGTTGAAGTAACCCGGATGTTGATTTCACTACTTCCGGTGGCAAACCGCGACACCTTGTGGGCATTGTTACAATTTTTGTATAAGGTTGCCGAACATTCCACCGATGTTTTGGATGAGAATGGCCAAACAGTAAGTAAAATTCTGGCAAGATTTTCAGGACAATAAATGTCTAAAACAAGCATGGAAACATAAAGTGTCTGGCAGATGTAAATTTTGTGACACGATTTATTGCCGACTTGACTTGAGAAACATGTAATATAACTTAGTTATCACACAAAATTCCATACACAATAATGTTTCCATTAACTATTTGTAGTTTTATCTATAGGGATAATGCATTATATTCTGATATCTAAATGCGAAACAAGTGCTGGAAAACCAATTAACATTTAGTGGTGCATTTTCCACGTTCATGCTGAACGTATTAGTATATATAAACGTATAATAACTAGTAACTGATGGAATTTACGTTCTCTACAAGTAGTCTTCTATTACATATACAACTAGTTCTTGCATTTTCATGAATGTGTATATTAGATGCATATCTTGTCACTTTAATATAGGGTATAAAATTGTCCTGTATTTACTTCATAATTTGTGCAAGGGTATTTACCTATAAAGCAATGCGCGTTTCACTGGTGGGTATCTGTTACATAATTGGAGCTTAACTACTGGGTATAATTATAATGCTCCCTCAACTAGCGGGTATCTGCTACATAATTCGCCCTTCACTTGATTATGTTGTATATCTTATCATAGTTTATAAAGATACTTATCTTAAAATATGATATTACAATAAAAGATTGGAGTATCTCCAACATTAAATCAAAATCGCCTTCATTGAATGCACGGCTACATGATATGTTGATTTCTATTGTCAGTTTAAAATCCAGTCGTGAAACGATGCAATCAATTTCAATCATGTAAAAGAATATTTAAATGTTCAATATCGTATAACTTTACGATCGATGTCATCTATTCTTATCAAGGGAAGATAAAGTATGATATTATCTTAACCGTTCTCTACGACTGATTATGTTATATTTGTTGCAGGTAGTATAATTATATTCAATAATTCAGAATGTGGATACCTCAAGTGTTAGATGCCCACCTCTGACATGCTTTTATTTTTATTTCTCAAAAACATTTTTAGCTTTAGTATTCTGTTCTAGTCCACTGGTCAATTACCTGAACTCATCTTTGCTTCTGTTGCATTTAGCAATGAGTACAGTTATAGTGATTAACTAGTAGTTGTTTTGTATGGAAGTCAAAATACTATTTTGTTTACATTTTTGCTACTTTTATGACAAATAATTTAACATAGCGCTGATTTCTTCAGAAGAGCATCTACCATGCTATATAGCTATTACCATTATTTATACGTTATCAGAGATATGCTTGACTTTCTAAAGAGCAAAATATTACATGTATTTGTTTCTGATTCATAATGTGCCTTTCAGTTAAAAAGATGTTGAGGGCTTATTTGTTTTGTTTACTTCATTAATTGAATAATGCAAAACATCCACTACTAAATATTTTTTAATATTATGAAACCAAAACATGAGTGAAATGAGAAATAAATACTGTTCTTCCTTCATTATCATGCACTAATCAACCCAGCTTTAAAATTAGCATGTCGTGAAGCATCGCAGTTTAAGTTGAACAGAACATTAATGGGTCGTTGACCACACTATGGACGGAACATTATTACATTTTTATTGCATTAAAATAGCCCATTAGTCACTGGACCACCAAACACGCATCCATAGACACAACAACAAGTTAACTTTTTAGTATTTTTCATATTACCCTGACCTTGAAATGACCACGCGCTTTAGTGACAATTATATCTTGTCACAGGCTGGCGCGTCTATTTTCCATAAGGTTGCTGTAGTAATATTTCATGAAATGCCAGTATTATTCATGAAACACAACTACCATTGTTCAACCCAGCAGCTGTTCGGGTTTTTCAAACTGTGCTATATATAAACTATTACACACACATATATATTTTTTTCAGTTGCCAGGTAACAAGATGGATTCTCACAATTTGGCAACATTGTTTGGCCCTAACATTCTACACAAGTCCAAGTCGACTGAGAAGGAGTTTAGTGTTGAAAGTGTGGAAAGATTAGAGGAGAGAAAGGAAGTGATAGAGGTTGTACAAGCAATGGTTGATAAACATCAACAACTTTTTCAGGTATTAGACATATGACGTTGGCCTTTTATTGCAAATTGTCGAGTCTGTATTTACAAATTTATTCTCTACGCACTATAGTTGATATACTATTGTTCTGAATAATATACATAGTTCATAAAATCAACACTTATGCTTATCTGATTAAAAAGAGGATTCAAGAAAACGTTTCTTATTTGGCCATTGATGAATGAAAAAAAATGAAAACGGTAAATTTGCTTTATCAGCCATGTTGATATGATGTGCGCTCTGGTGAAAGGGAGGTAATAATTGTTGTTTTTTTTTCTCAATATTTCAGATTCCAGCTAGCTTACACGATGAGATATTAAAGTTGCTACTGGAAACCGATCCGGATACCACAGAACAAATACTCAAAAGAATTTCTAGTGATAATGGGTATGTGCATTTGATTTTGTTTGTTTATTTTGATCTTCAATGTAACTAAATTTTACTGTTTTGAACAAAATTGTTAGTTCCTGTTTTATGAACTTATAATCTGATTTATTTAATGTCGGATTTTCTTATGATTTACACGAAGCGTAGCGGCTTTTACAAATTGGAATGTCATCATAATGATAAATTAAGTGAAATCAATTGTACATTTTACATTAATTGTACATAATGTACAAGGAATTCAGTTTTGAGTAGTAACCACATTATATTGTATATTTCAGGATCGAACCAGACCCAGACACTTCTAGCAGTCTCTTTGATGACAGTGACGCCTCCTTGCCACATTCGCCAGTCAGTGAAAATAACTTACATATAAAAGAACCATGTGGACTACAATCTACCCCGACATTACGGGTTGCCAGAAGTGCCGAAATTCTTACACCTGTTGCTAGGCGGAAATTCTTTTATTCTCCCCCGGAAGAGGAGAAAGTACACCAGAGACGCAAAAGTGACGTAAATAATCCCATGGAACGCCCGAAGTTCCATCTTGTGATTGAAAACTCTCCCAGCCCACCGGAAGTGAATAAAACACCACAAGTTTCACGAACTACGCGCAATAAAATGACACGTGACAATTCTAGTCCAGATCTATCTTCGAGGCCGCATTCTATTCATATTGAACGACCTCATTCTGAACTGTATTGTACACCGAAAACATTATCCATTCCCCCACCTAGTTATATGAGACTTCATTCTGCAGAACCATGTAGATCAAATTCATCGAATCCACCGTCACGTTCAGAAAGTTTTAATAGTTCAAATTACGGTGGAGGTCGGGCTGGGTCGAGCTCTCCACGAGTGACGTCATCAATTCAGAGACCTTTAAACTTTAATCGGGGTACACCGGAAGTAGAAAATGAATGGCAGAAAAATAGATGGCGGCAGTGGGACGATATGGCGGCTGACAAGCCAGTGGAAGGATATGAACAAGAAACTCTTGTGTGAATTCATAGATCAGGAATATATTGTAAATACGGACAATGTGGTCAGATAATAGAACAAAGTGGTCAGTAATTAAAGACAGAGTGACCAATGACAAAGTTTTAAGGCTCAGCTTTTTATATTTAAGTGGCATTTTTGGAATTATATTTTGTGTGTTTCCGTCACAGAAGAGACGGGAATAAATGCCGTTGTTACTGTAACCATTATGTGCTACTAACTCTAAACATAAGAGAAAATAATTTTTAATGTACATATATATATTTATATTTTGTATATGGCGGGTGGGGTTTATCATCATGTAATAATGCAATAATCATATGTATATGCATTTTTAGACATTTGAATTTTATGCAATAACATATTATGCAAGATAGAATCAGAAATCCAAGAAAAGTTTACATCATTATAAGATACGAAACTTGTGCTATATATAGTTAAACTGTTAACTGCCTGTACCGGAATGAAACAGAAAATAATAATATATATACCTGATTTATTAAACTGGATTATACAGAAAGTATACATGTTGTTCAAATAATCATCATTCTTATTATATAAGATGATTCTCATTAAATCGAATCTTCATTTTTATTTGTTATGGCAATTGTAGTCGCTTAAAATTCTTTCTTTTTCTAAAACATCGACAACTTTATTGCATATTAACAATTTAACAGACTGTTTAAGAAAACCAGGGTCGGCATTTTCTAGGACATTTCTGTGTAATATACGTTATTCGTTGTTATACGGATATACAGAAATGTTATATACGTTGCTTTCTTGTGACTATGGAGCGTTCTAGGAATTTCCCCCAAAAAATATTAAATCTTTATATTATTGATAGGTCACTGACTCCTGTACGTTTTACAACATTAGAAATCATTCTTGTTATTCAATATATGTTTCCGGGATATGCAAAATCATTGCTTAAATGTTCAGGTAGGGCAATTATAATTCGTTCGTTTCACATTCCTGTTAAGTTGTATCACATACTGTAAACACCGATACTGGCAGTAAATATTGTACCATTTCCTGTTAAATTTATCATCTCTGTTTATTTGAATATTTAATTTCTTGTTGAATTATTATTTTTTTGTTCAGTATTAGAGAAACTTTAAAGCTATATACCTCAGTTGGACTCGTAGGGCTTTTTGCCAGTTTGGAATAACTAGTTTGTTTTATTAGAACAATCATGCTATAATGTTTTTTTGTCAATTATTGTTGTAATAGGCAAGTTTGATGATGTATGTTTAATTTTACACACACTTTAGTGCTATTTATGTTCTTAATCTGTAGTTATCTCCCTTTGATTATATAAAATACATAAGGAAGTCGGAAAGGTTTTGAACTATGATACATAATAATATATTTTAAGTAAAAAACAATGTATAAGAGTAAATTTGCTTTATAAATTAAGGACAGATAAAATATCGTAAGGTTCAAAAACAGTGTTGGGGTTGAAAAATCTGAGTAAATTATCATTCAACACAAGCCTGGGTCAAACTTATATTTGAAAAGGAAATATAACTAAAAAAAAGACAAAATCCTGAAAATACTTAGTGATATGATTTAATTTTCAAGCCAGAATCTGTAATACCCACTTAATAGATACCCCTGCATATAAATGTACTTAAAATATAAACTCATGGCAGATGTTTTCTGAGGATTTCTTTAAATTCAAACATTTTTCTTCAGAATATTTTCAGTATTTTGTATCATTTGTGTTAATTTGCAAATCATTGAGGTCACTATCATTACGTGGTGTAAGAGGAGGAACTTTGTGGGGTATATTTATTTAGACTCTATATTGTTGATATTAAACTGAAATCTGTGTTCATATTATGCTTTTTGTTCACGAAAAGCGGCAATAAAAGAATAAAAGACTTACGATTTGTTATTTGCTTTTATTATCATTGAACATAATAATATTTTAAAGAGAAGGAAGTAAGCTTTTTTAATCTTGTAAGTGTATGCTGAGAAATATGTACTATTCAAGACGAAAGCAAAATAACAAAAATGACTCTCGCATTTTATTTGAGAACAATTCTCCACAGATACATAAAAGCGGCTCGTTTCTTATAAATACATGGACAGTGCTATATCCTACGAATCTGAATGGGTTCTGAGATTTCATCGAAGATGGATTTTCTTCACACAACTGTGTTAACATTTATTTAAATCAATTACAACTTTGAAACAATAAAACATTTAGAATAACACCGCTGGATTTATACCATTCAACATATATCTGACAACACAGCTAGATTTATACCGGTCAGTCTATAACTGACAACAATCTATATCTGACACCACCGCTAGATTTATACCGTTCATATTATATCTGACAACACCGCTAGATTTATACATAAGTCATATATCTGACAACACCGCTAGATTTATACCGTTCAGCCTATATCTGACAACACCGCTAGATTTATACCGTTCATATTATATCTGACAACACCGCTAGATTTATACATAAGTCATATATCTGACAACACCGCTAGATTTATACCGTTCAGCCTATATCTGACAACACCGCTAGATTTATACCGTTCAGCCTATATCTGACAACACCGCTAGATTTATATCGTTCAGCCTATATCTGACAACACCGCTAGATTTATACCGTTCAGCCTATACCTGACAACACCGCTAGATTTATACCGTTCAGCCTATATCTGACAACACCGCTAGATTTATATCGTTCAGCCTATATCTGACAACACCGCTAGATTTATACCGTTTAGCCTATACCTGACAACACCGCTAGATTTATACCGTTCAGCCTATATCTGACAACACCGCTAGATTTATATCGTTCAGCCTATATCTGACAACACCGCTAGATTTATACCGTTCAGCCTATATCTGACAACACCGCTAGATTTATACCGTTCAGCCTATATCTGACAACACCGCTAGATTTATATCATTTCGCCAATATCTGACATCATCGGTTCAGCCTATATCTGACAATATACTTATGCCGTTCAACATTATATCTGACATTCATTAATGATGAATATTTTAACTATATCGTCAATTTCTTTCACTAAATCATACATAGTCAAATAAACAATGACAAACACTTGAACCACTAGAGAAAGGTCGGCGGTTCTACTGTGGTGCCATCTCGTGTCTGAGATGATTCATATAGAGGCACCCGAGGTCCTCATCCACTATAACATATAGAGTCACCCGAGGTCCTCATCCACCATCATATAGAAGCACCCGAGGTCCTCATCCCCCATCATATAGAGGCACCCGAGGTCCTCATCCCCCATCATATAGAGGCACCCGAGGTCCTCATCCACCATACCCGAGGTCCTCATCCACCAAAACATATAGAGGCACCGAGGTCCTCATCCACCATCATATTGAGACACCCGAGGTCCTCATCCATCATCATATAGAGGCACCCGGGGTCCTCATCCACCATAACAGCTGCAAAATTGCCATATGAAAGTTCTGGCGTTATTCAAAACTCAACAACATCACCATCAACAATAAAGAACTAGCTATCATAGCTAAGGTATCTAAAATACTGATGGAAGCATTTTGTATGGTGTTGGTGCAGATAGTTTATCCTCCGGATCACGGCAGTAAGCCACCTTGAATTCACCAGAGCACAGTTTAGTCATCATGCAAGATAATTTATTAAAAGATTTGCTATTTTATCAAGTTCTCACACGTGGAACTATTTCTTTTGAAGAGTTAGGTCCGATAGATGTTATTCAACTGCAACAGTCTGACCCTCACACCGTCATGACACGCCACTGTACTGATCAAGGAACGTAACGTCCGTGGATGGGTTATATTCTGGCCAGATAAAAAAATTGCGAGTGTCTGAAACAAACAGTATTTTTAAGAAAAGCCACGATGACTTTAATAACATTTCATATAGAATACAAAATATTTAAAAAAAATGAAATAAAGACAACAAGAAAACAATTATTATGTTTATAGTTTTGAATGTTTTTTTTTTTTTTTTTGATTTTCTTAAATAGCATTGCATTATATTGTTTAGTGTTATTTAGTCATATGCAGGAGACTGGCACGACAGAATATTTAAAAGTACTTCCATTGCTTCGTATGTACACACAAAATAAAATCGCACGGATAAAGGGAGATCACTCAATATAGTAACTTATAAAATATAGGGCACACCGATTATACGTGTACAGTTTATTTTTAACTTTACTTTATTTATTTTTTTCATTTATTTATTTACTTATTTATCTATTTTTACATTTATTGTCTTTCACTGCATTTCGTCGCACACAATTTGGTAAAGCTGTTGAACAACCTACATATATCTAAAATAACAAACCTTTGCTAGAATGCATGTCAAATGACATATAAACTGATAAACTGCAGTGGATGAAAATACAAATTGTGAAGTAAATATAAAGTATAAACAGTGCCAAAGATCTCTAAATAATATAGTGTTGCAACAGTGGTCAAAACTTCAAATGTAGTGTCACAAAAATTATATCAAATACTTTATAATGCTAATGATTCTTTTCGTTTTGCTTTCCCTTTATGTAACATGCATTGAACAATACATAATTATAATGTAGATAATATAGCAAAGCATCGTAAATTGGAATGAAATATAACTAAACGAATAATTTTGAAAAATTCCAGACGAACACTCAGTAACAGACGAACACTCAGTAATGAAAAACAGACCGACAGCGGTATAGAACAATTGCAAATATCATATACCTCGATTTGACAATCAAAAACAACTGATACGACGTACATTAATAATCATCTCTGGGTACAATATATTTGTTTACTTGCTAATATTTATGCATAGTACGAACATTAGCTCTTTAAATTAGAGACACTTTGTCAGTACTTGTCAGTCCATGCAACTCCGATTTTATTTTCTATTTAAAGGTAATCAACTGTTCATTACGAATATTATTGAAAATTGCAGTAACCTTCCGTAGACTCATCAATACTTTACAGGGTTCCAACGGTATGTCGGTCTTACGGTGACACTATCCATCTTCTTACCTGGCTTAAAGTGTGTGCGAGCCAACTACAGTAACAAACATTTTGTGTATAATTATAGAAAGCCGACAACTGGACAATTTTTAACTATCCGTAAAACGCAAACTGAGATTGACTCAGGACTCAAATATTATTTATTTTATTTTTTATCTTGTTTTTCCTTCATGAAGTGGTTTATCAAACATTAATGTGAAATTTGCTGCGTGTATATTCTAAAGTTTTTCGGATTTAATACTATTACTACTAATTCTACTTCTATTTTGTGACCCATTGACGCGTGATAAGAATGCCCCTCAGTTGCAAAAAATTGATCAAAAATAGACAGGCTATTCTTAAACATTGATCAGTGATCAAAATATTAATGCCAAACATGCCTATATACGGTCATACACATAAAATAGTAATAAATATGTATTCTTTCCAGATCTTTAAGTGATGAAATATTTATTCATCTTATTCAAGTAACTCGGCAAAACTGATAACGGACAACTAAAGACCTTTTTACAATACAATTTTCCATAATAACGGATGTTTCATTTCGCGCATGCGCATTCTGCGTTAGACAAAAACACAATAACGAGAGACTGCATTTTGGTGGTGTTGTTATTGGTAGTTTTTACTCCGGATCACAACAGTAAGCCACATTGAATTCATCAGAGCACAGTTCAACCACCGCATCGTTCCCGGGCAGGCTGTCAAGCAGTTTACCAATACTAGTTGCCTACACTTTCGCAAGGAACTGAAACTTTTATACATGCCAGAGCAGAGGTACAAAGCGAATGACCGTAGAAAGGATATCGTGATCAATTACAAATAAAGTGACCTGCGCCGTCTGGGAATCGAACCCGGGTTGCCCGATTCACAGTTCAACGTTCTACCTATTGACTAAGACTACATTTTGCCATACTTAAAGGCTAAAATAGACGTGGTTTCAAGTTATGTCACCCATAAAACAGTAGTTCTTGGATGCATTTAAGCGGTAAATACTTAAAACATGAATTGCTATGTCACATGTTCTGACTTTTTTTTCAGAATGATTATTAACCTCGAATTTATATATTATAAAATTTCCATAGTTTTTATATGAACTATTTCAACAACAATTAAGTTGAACCTCTTTTTAAGTGGAATTCTAAAATAATCATCTTGCCCATGCTTTTTTTATGGCTATCTAGGCACCACAACTATAAGGACATCTTTTGTGTTTTTTAAAGCTATTTTTATATAATTTTCAACTTTTACCTTAAACTGACTCGGAACTGTCTATGAACTTTAATTTCATTTCTATGTTCGGCGATGCATTTTTTGTCTTAGTGTTCAGTGTTAGTGCTTAGTGTTCAACCCATTTACAGTTGGACACTACGCTTTCCTCTTTTGATTACATCTGACGGACCAAGTGGGAGACTCTATGATGGACAGATCTTAAAGCCCTTTGGGACTGAATTGCCTTAATGTTTGTCTTCTGTCTTGCTTCGTCGGGCCCTTGTAGGTGATTTTCCTGTTGCTCTGTCTTCCTTAAGGACATTGAGTACTTTTGTTATGGTCATTGGGCTTACTTTTATATGGTTCTACATGATCATTTTGGTGTTTTACTTATTTAACCTTTTGTAACCATAACAACTGTTAGAATTTCACTTGGCGGGGATTCATTTTATTTACACTGTCTTGTTTATAGGAACATGGTGGGGCTAAGAGCGAGGTTTGGTGCACCATTAACCGGTTTAAACTCCCCAGCAGTATTTATGCTGCTGACCGTTCCAAGGCGGCGCCCCTCTATGTTCCTCAGATGTATGTCTATGTTGTTTTATACTGTTATGGTGACACTTTTATGTCTCTTGTAATTTCTCGTCTACGGTCAGTAT